CTTCCCCACCTTCCTTTCTCCCCTTCTCTCCCTCCTTTCCTTCCATCCACACAGGGAATCAAACCCTTACTTGTGGGTGCTCTGCCCAAAGGAATATAAATAATATAAATTTTGATTGCTAAAACCTTGCAAGATATCTTGGAGTTTACAGGCTAGATTTTTTTCCCTCTTCCCTACTTATTTATTGTATCATTAAAAAAAAAAAACAAAAACTGTGACAATTAACTTTTTTGCCCCACATAGTTTCATTTATGATCTCTTGAAATGCAGCACTGGAAAACCAGACTTTGATAAAGCCCATTGGAATTCGGATGGAGCTATTTGACCATGCCTTAAACTCAAATTGCCCTGGCATTCACTGATTGGCCAACAATAGGTCCCAGCCCAAGCCTACCTTGGTCTTTGGTTTTGATGGCTCAGAATGAGTGTAAATAGTAATAGTTTCTGTTCTGTCCAGAAACCTTTAAGGTCTTTCCCTCCCACACTGATTTTTTTTTTTTAGTAGGTAAAAGGGCTATTTTTTGCCTCATTTCTTACCTAGCCCTAATCACTGAATGGGTGTTGCCTCAGACAAACTGAGACCTGGGAAAGACCAAGGTCTCCCACTGCATTTGAGGTCATCTCCAGTCTTTCTTGCCACTGGACCTAGATGGCTCTGGAGGAAAGAGTGAGGCTGGTGACTTTGTACAGCCCTCCTTCACTTTAATCCAATTCACTTGCAAGTCAAGACATCACCTTCCTGATGTCATTGGTCCTCTTCAAAGGACAAACAACAACAACAACATGCTTTGGTGATATCTAGATATTGTGACTGCTTACTGAGAAGCCCCCACTCCTGGGAGATTAGAGAGAAAACTACCTCTGGCCATTGAGCAAGGAGAGACCAATGTGAGTATGCTCTGTGTCCTTCAGCACTGAATCTTGATGGTTATTTCTTAGAGTGTCTTCTAGACCCATCAGGTATGCCAGCCTGGTAATTTTAGCTTCCTCCAAGTTCTTTTTTTTTTTTTTTGCTTTTTTGGTGAGGCGATTAGGGTTAAGCGACTTGCCCAGGGTCACACAGCTAGTAAGTGTTAAGTGTCTGAGTCTGGATTTGAACTCAGGTCCTCCTGACTCCAAGGGCAGAGCTCTATTCACTGCGCCACCTAGCTGCCTCCTTCCTCCAAGTTCTGGGGATGGCCTCAGCTCTAGCTTTTCTGAGACAGAATCCATGTATATTCTACTGATTTTATCAACAAGTTTCCTCTTTAAATCTTTTTCCTGAACTCAGTGAACTGAATTTTAAAGGTCACCCTGAAGCATAACTCATCTTTATTAATTCTGTGGAGAATCCACTTCCTTTTTGATTCTTTCAAGGTAGTCATTCATACCTTATAAAGGGATTCCTTGACTCTGCTGCCTCTTTTAAAGTTAAAGTCTTTGTGGGTCCCTTTTATGGGATTAGGTCCTGGACTTTCAAGGACCATTCTCTTATAGGAGGAACTATTTTTTAAAAAGCCTAACAAAATGGACAATTTGTGTTTTAAAGAGATTAAAAATGAAACTCATAAAATAAAAAATAATTCAGAAACTATCTTGCCCAATTATATACAAGCCAAATTGATAAATAGAATGGATGAATATTTACAAAAATATAAAATATTAAAATTAACAGAACAAGAAACAGAGAATTTAAATTATCCAGTCTCAGCAAAAGAAAATGAACAAACTGTAAAGGAACTCTCAAAGAAAAAAAAAACAGGTCCAGATGTATTTATAAGTGAATTCTACCAACCATTTAAAAAAAAAACTTATATAAACTGTTTCCAACAATAGAGAAAGGAGCCAGAGGTAAAGTCAGAGATGAAGCTGAGAAACAAAACTATAGAATAATGTTTCTAATAAATATCCATGCAAAATATTGAGTAAAATATTAGCAAGAAGGCTATGGCAACATTGTTTTAATAGCATAGCAATTTAATAGCAATAGGAACAGGAATGTATATCAAAGCAATACTTAAGGTGTGGAGAAACCCTCCAACCGAAACAACCTAGAGAACCTTTGGGTTGCTTGGCAGTTCTCAACACCAGATCCTCAGGACATTATTTTTCAGTAGTTAATTTTGTCATCACCTTTGTTCCAAGCATCAAAAGTCATCAAACATCAATCATCTTTCAGAGGTTTGTTCACCAAACATCTGTCAGCAGATGCAATATTGAAAAAAAAAAACAACTGGCATTTGGACACTAAGCTGATTAGTCACCCTGAAAGAGCAGTGGTTTCTTTATCCATAAAAGGTTCCTTAAAGAAATTTTCCATCTTTATGGCCTTTCCTTTCAGGAAAGGAAGCTCCTAACAGGACTCCCTTCCCCCAATTTATCTCTAATTTCTGGAGCATTTTATTCACAGCCGTTCAAGTAAAAAGGCACCTTTTCACAACATATCAGCCTCAGTCTGATTGATGGATATGAACCAAATCCTGGAACAGTGTCTCCAGGCCCTACTCCTTACTATGAAATTCTATTATAATGACTTAGTTGACCCATCTAGCCAGAATATAGCATGGCACAATGGAAAAAGCATTGAATCTGAATTCCCAAGGTCATGAGTTCACATTTCATCTCTGAAGCCTACTACCAGAGTGACCTTGGCTGCTTAAATTTAAACTTTCAGGACCTTGGCTTCTTCATCCATAAAACTGGGAGGATGGGATAAATGATTTCTGAGGTCCCTTCCAGCTCTAGGCTTTCTATCAAAAATTACTGCTTTCAACTATATTCACTGTAAGCACTGAAACTCCTATAATTCATTATCAAATAATCAAAATCCTATAATCTACCCCAAAGAGATCAAAAAAATGGGAAAAGGACTCACATGTACAAGACGGTTTATAGCAGCTCTTTTTGTGGTGGCCAGGAATTGAAAGTTGAGGGGATGCCCCTCCGTTGGGGAATGGCTGAACAAGTTGTGGTATATGAATGTGATAGAATACTATTGTGCTCTAAGAAATGATGAGCAGGCTGATTTCAGAAAAACCTGGAAAGACTTACGTGAATTGTTGCTTAATGAAATGAGCAAAACCGGGAACATTATACACAGTAACAGCAACATTGTGCAATGGCTAACTTTGATAGACTTTGCTCTTTTATTTTTTTTAAATTAATTTATTTTGATTTATCAACAATCATTTCCATAAGCTTTTGAGTTTTAAATTTTTCTGTCCCTCCCTCTCCACCTCCCTCCCTAAGACAGCACGAAATCTGATATAGGCTATACATATACATTCCTATTAAACGTATTTTCAAATTAGTGGTGCTGTAAGTAAGCATTATAACCAATAGGAGAGGAAACCTAGAAAGAGGAAACAAAACACAACAGAAGAAAAAGAATAGCAAATAACATGCTTAGATCTGCATTCAAACTCCATAGTTCTTTCTCTGGATGTGGATAGCATTTTCCATCATGAGTCCTTTGGAGATGTCTTAGATCCTTGCATTGCTGGGAAGGGTTAAGTCTATCAATATTAGTACCCAAATGATTATGTTATTCCCTTCTTGAGCCAGATCTGATGAGAGTAAGGTTCAAACAATGCTCATCTCCCTACCTTCTTTCCCCTCTGCTGTAATAAGGTTTTGTGCCTTTTCCTGTAATGTAATTTACCCTTGTCTGCCTCCTTTCCTTTTCTCCCAGTACATTTTCTTAGATCAGATTAATCCACTTACTTGGATCCATTTAACCCACTTGATTAGATTTTTTTTTTATCATTACATCAAAGTCAACTTATACCCACCCCCTTTATGTATACCCCTTTAACGTGGTATAATAACAATACAGTTCTCAAGGGTTAAGTGTCATCTTCCCTTGTAAAGATGTAAACAGTTTGCCCTTATTAATAATATGTTGTTTCTTTCTATCCCATTTACCTTCTTATGTCTCTCTTGAGTCTTGTATTTGAAAATCAGATTTTCTGTTGAGCTCTGGTCTTTCTATCAGGAAGGTTTGGAAGTCCCCTATTTTGTTGAATATCCATCTCCTCCCCTGAAAGATTATGCTCATTTTTGCTGGGTAGTTGATTCTGGGTTGTAATCCAAGCTCCTTTGCTTTATGGAATATCATATTCCATGCCCTCCAGTCTTTTAATGTAGAAGCTGCAAGGTCCTGTGTAATCCTGACTGTGGTTCCATGATATTTAAATTGTTTTTTTCTGGCTGCTTGCAGTATTTTCTCTTTGACCTGGTAATTTTGGAATTTGGCTACTATATTCCTTGGCATTTTCAATTTGGGATCTCTTTCAGGAGGTGATTGGTGGATTCTTTCTATGGCTATTTTACCCTCTGGTTCTAGGACCTCAGGGCAGTTTTCCTTCATGATTTCCTGAAAGATACTGTCCAGGCTCTTTTTTTTCATCGTGATTTTCAGGTAGACTAATAATTTTTAAATTGTCTCTTCTGGATCAATTTTCCAGGTCAACTTAGCTCTTTTTCAGCAATGCAAGGATATAAGAGATCTCCAAAAGTCTCGTGATGGAAAATGCTATCCACATCCAGAAAAAGAACTATGGAGTCTGAATGCAGATCGAAGCATACTTTTTGCTCTCTTTGTTGTTGTTTCTTCTTTCTCGTAGATTCTCCTACTGGTTTTAATTCTTCTTTATAACATGACTAATGTGAAAATATGTTTTAATATGAATGTATATGTATAGCTTATATCAGATTGCACGCTGTCTTGGGAAGGGGGGAAGATAAACTTCTGCAATACTACTAAATTTCTGAATAATCAGGTTGATTTAGACAAATGGCCAGCTCTACAGCATTCCTGGCATTTTGGTTTCCTAATTTCATTCAGCCTCTCTTGTAGCTCTGAAATTTCTTGACACTTGGTTGTCCAGCTCATTTCAACTGTTAGGTCTTGATGCTTCACAAAACATCAAAATAAACAAAAAATCTTGATTTTTCTTTCTTTCTTTTTCCAGATAAAATTATTTTTAAAATGCATTAAGGATGCTCCATCATTATCATCATCATCATCATCATCATCATCATCATCATCCTTGTTGCTGTTGTTATTTACATCACTATTACTTACCACTGACTGGTCCAAACCCCGTCTCCTTCCTACCACAACAGAACTTTCTCTTGTAACAAATAGGTATGGTCAAGATGAATTAATCAACACATTGACCATGTCTGGAAATATATGCCTCAACTTTAGTTCACTACCTTTCTGCCAGTAATGTGGAGGACAGGCTTCTGAAATCAGATTAGTCAGTACATTGTTCAGAATTCTGAAATTTTTCAATGTTGTTTTCTTTTTCTGGTCATCATGTAAATTGTCCTCCTGCTTCTGTTTACTTCATTCTGCTTCAGTTCATATGAGTCTTCCAAAGTTTCTCTGTTTTCTTTATATTTGTCATTTTTTATGGAGCGATAATATTCCTTTATGTTCATATTGCATTGTTTGTTTAGCCATTCCCCAACTTGTAGTTCCCTTCTTTGTTTCCAGTTTTTTCCTTGTTCAAAACCATAACTATAATTTTTTTTTTGCATAGACGAGACTTTTCCTTTGTCTTTGGACCCTAGTAATAGTATCTCTGAGTCAAAAGGTAATTTTGTATCTTTTGGGGTGTAATTCTAAATTATTTTTCTTGAATTATCAGAACAATTCATAGTTCCACAAAGAGTGTATTTATTGTGTTTTCCCAATCCCTCCAAAACATTCTATTTTCTTCTTTTTGTCATCTTTGCAATATGATGCAACCCTATGTTTCCAGCTTTATTTCATATCACTCACCCATATACATTCTATTTTCTTATAAATGGCCTATCCTCCAGCCAAACTGAACTATCCTTCCCTCTCCTCCCCAACCCATCCCCCTGCAAATGCCCTGTGATTTCCTGTATCCAGGTATTTGCTCATGATTTTCCCTCTGTCTAGAATGCGTTTCTTTCTAGTCTTCATCTGTTGAATTAAGTACTGGCCCCTCCATGAAGCTTTCCCTAATCCTCCCTGTTAATAACAATCATTTCTCTAGGACTTGCCATAGTACTTGTCTTTTAACATTTCATGTATTTGTAATGTGGGCTGTGGTTGCCTCTGCCCTTACTGGAACCTCTCCAATACAGCTTAAAATGTCCTAGTTTGTGACAGTAGGCAATTGAGACCTCACTGGAAAGGTCCCACTAAGGACAAATAATCCCTGCCTATAGTCTAATTTTCTCTCTCTCTCTCTCTCTCTCTCGCTCTCTTTCTTCCCCTTCGCCCTCTCATCTTCCTACAGGACTGTTAGTTGCATTAAGCAATGATCTTATCTCGATTTGTATTTTCTGCAGTTCCTTGCCCACTGCTCTGCACGAAGTAGTTTGAAATGTTTGGATGGCATCTATAATTTTAGTAAGGAACTCCCAGTGGGGAAATTCTCTCTACCAATGCAGATCAGCAACTGCTCTGCAGCTCATAGTATTAGAGTATTGCTTATGGAGTTGAGAGTTTAAATGTCTTGCCCAGGGTTAGAGACAGAATTTGAGGTCAGGTTTTACTAAATTTGAGGCTGGTTCTTCAGGTTTTCTATTTAGTATTCCAGGCTGCTTCTCTAGCACAGAGTAGTCAATCAATAAACATTTATTAAGTGCCTATTTTGTGCCAGGCATTGTAGTATATAGTAGGTAGGCATTTAATAATGTTTACCATTGTTTTTGTGATGTACCTCAATAATATACATTAGATCAAGCATAATAGGGCTTTAAGGAAATTAGGCTGTTGTATAAGAATTTAAATAAAAGTGGAAAAAATAACTCTGAGTCTTAGTATTTGACTTGGCATGGACTTGGAATTGATGCTATTTGCCAAAGTTATAATGATACCAGTATGTGTGATGACATCAACATGAATAACATTGGTAAGCATCAAAGTGCAACCATTGTCAAATAGTTAAAGAAACCCAAGAAGAAAAATATAGGAGTCCAAGCATGATACCCCCTATCCCAGGTAAACCATCTGCTAATTCAACAAATTACATTTGAAATATTATCAGAGCCCTGGAAGGTTCCTGTGTTTCTACGTAACACTCAGTTCCATTATTTTCTCTAAGTTTGTAAGTCATCCATTACTTTCAAGTTCTTAACTTGATGAGAAAAAATTTGTATGTGGCTCAGGTCTGCACGGGAAAAGTAGAAGAAGGCAATGGGGATCCAGTGAGAGTTAGAATAAGGGAGTTAAATCTAGAGAAAGAAGATCCTTTCCCTAACTGCCTCATTTCTCCCTCTTCTCAGGTTTGAATATTGTCCAAATAATCTGTCTAGAGGGCCTATAAGTAGAAGGGCTTCTCCATTGAACTTCTGTGTATTTTTTCCTAGGAAAAATCCTTTTCAAAATGTTTGTTTGGACCCAGAATTTAGACTTAGGATATAGATGAGCTGGGCTAATAAAGTTTTTGTGGTCTGTTTCTGATGGAGTTTATAATATTCCACATCCATTGTCCCCCATCTCTGTGATAACAAAAGAGAGGTACATTTTCTCAGTACTTCTTCAGGGCTAATAATTATGTAGGCTTAGGTTTTCCCTTCCTTCCTTCTTTCCTTCCTTCCTTTTCCCCTTCTTTCTTCTTTTCTTCCTTCTTTCTTCATGATATTTTTTCAAAGTGTATTCTTTCCAAAATGTTTGCTTTGGTTCAGAATTGAAATAAGAGGCTGACGAGTAGGTCTAGTTCAGTTTTTGCAGGCTAGTAGGTATAATGTATATATATATATATATATATGTATAGTATAATAGTATATATAGTCGGTATAGTAGGAATATATTACTCCTAGAGGAATCGGCTTATAGAATCACTGACTTACAGAGTTGGAAGAAGGTACCTGGAGATGTCATACAGTTAATAGAGATGGTTCTAATTAGTCCTATGCCTAATCCATCTTTGACAAAATAAAAATCTATAGTTTTTGAAAGGCTACCCAATGAAGGGGGGATGTCCACAGTTTCCCTTCAGAGTCTATTCAAAGATCTAGCAGCCATGACTATTATTATTTTTCCTTATACCTACCCTATATCAATCAAAATATTTATTAAATGCCAACTATGTTCCAGGAACTGTGTTAGATACTAGGGATATAAAGAAAAAAAGGAAATAATTCCTGCCTTCAAGGAGATTACATTCTATTAGGGAAGTCAACATGCACATAAAAAAGTATATAAAAATAAATACGATGTAAATTTTTGAGGCACTATCTACTGGGGTGGGGGGAGGGGATCAGTACAGGCTTTGTGCAGAGGGTGTTGCTTAAGGAAACAAGAGACTCTGAGAGGCAGAATGGAAAGCATTCCAGTCATGGGGGACTTGTCAGTGAAAGGGTACAAGGCAAGATGGAGTGTCATAAGTGAGAAACAGTAAGCTGGCCGGGGCCAAGTAGTGAAGGACTACAAAAGCAAAAAAGGAGTTTATTTTTGAGCCCTGAGGCATGGATCCTTCATATTGAAGGTGAAATGTGATTCTTGTTCTCTGAGCTTATCCCTGTCCTCTGTATATCTATTTACAAAAACCAAAAAAACTATAGTACTCAACACCTTGGACCTTAGGAATTTGTCCTTCTTTTGCAAGTCAATTTTTTCAAAGGTTCTTGCCTCTGAGAATCCATCTTCCTTTCACTTCATGTTTTTGAAGATTATGGGTGCAAGGAACAGGGAGACTGGGAAGGGGGAAGATAAGAGTCTAATTTTTCACTACTATGCCTCAGATCAAATTCTCTTTGTGGAACACACTTCTTCCACATTATCTTGAGTAAATAAACATAGAACCCTTTCCCAGAAGACCTTGATATTATCTCATAGAGTTGCAGTGAGGAAAACACTTTATAAAGTGCTTTTATGTGAATAGTTATAATTATTTGCATTAGCCAGAACGTCTTTTAATTTTTTCATTAACAGTGGGGAACAGGAAATGAATGACTTCCTGGTACATGCTTGCCCATAGCTGTTCATCTTTCAGGTTTGAGTCAATACATCCATTCCTCTACTTTCCAACTCTGGCCTCATTTCCAAGCTAGCCTACACCTTCCAGGCATGTTTTAGCTGGTAGCACTCCAATGTTATTGACAGCTGGAGATGCATTAAATAACTGAGTGCATAGGAAAACAAGCAGTGGACTGGGCTTCCCACCCTTAAGGCCATGTAGCATAAGCATCCCTGTAATGAAAAGATTAAAAAGCTTCTTGTTTTGAAAAGGGGGGAGGAGGGGGAGCAGGTTAACTTATAAATAGACACTGCCTGAAGCTCCCCATGGTGCATGTCATTATTTTATCAATCTTTTTTTTTTTTTTAAGGATCTCATTATCAGAGACCAATTGGAAGCTCCACTCTCTTTCTATGTTTTGAAGAGATCTTGTTGGAGGTCTGTTTTATAATATTTGCTTCTATCATATTGGGTGACAAACTCTGCTGTTTTGAACCGTCTGTGCATGGAAAATGAAGATGATGATGATGTTTCTTTTGCCAAATGGATGAGTAGCTTCTGGGGTCACAGCTGGATTGATGAAAATGAGAGAGAATTAAGAAGTCATAGGGAACGCCGAACCCAGGATATCAGAAATAGAAGAACCTCCCTGCCTTGTCCAGTAAGTTATTGCTGCAGAACAGATGTGAGGGAATAAAGGAAGGGGGTTGGTCCAAAGTAATTTTTAAAGACTTCTTTAGCACAGCCAAGTTTTCATGGCCTTAAATGTATTTCATTTAATCTTTTTTTCCCTTCCCTGAACTCATCAGAACTTTTACGGAGAGAGACAGCCCAAATCTCTCCACTCTGAGATGGAAATCCAGCAATGTTTTCTTCATGGACACAGTGTCTTAGGAACAAAGCCCTGATTATAGAGCTAATAAAAGGAAAATGATTGACTGTAGTCACCTTGAAGCTCAGAGGTAAATAGAACCAACAGTTCTCATCTTCACAATTACTGTATTCTCCAGTTTTTTCTGAGAGCTTCATATTTGTTATATGGTGGTATAGGTATCCAGTTCTTTGTGTAACCTTTTGTGCCACCAATAACCAGGAAGTAGCCCTCCATTCTAGGTTTCTTCAAGGCCAAAAGATGTTGGAGATGTATTGGGGGGAGGGGCAGAAGAGGAGGAATTTTTTATTTTTAGCACTGAGTTCCCCTGAATATGTTTTAGGGAATTTAAGCTTATTTTCTTCTTTTCTCAGAAAATGTGAAGAATTCTAACCAGTTCAAATAACAAGTTATCTTTCAGATCTGTATCACTTATCAGATAGTAACCTTGACAAATTCACTTAATTTTTTTAGGTCTCAGTTTTCTTATCTGTAAAAAATGAGGGGGTCAGTCTGGATGATTTCCAAGTTCCTTTACAGCTCTATCATTCTTTGATTCTGTGAGTCTAGGCTGAAAAAGTACTTTACTCTTGTAGATAACATCGTCAAACTTGGCTTACAGTGGAGGCAGTTATCAGTTTGCATTTTTAAAAAATTCCTTTTTATTTTTGTGAAATTGACATTTCACAAATATGAACATCTCTTTATACAAAGAAGAGTATTGCATAAGAAGGCATGAATATGTGGATGTTGGTACATACAACTTCAGTTGCAATAGTCAACTTTTTCAAAGATTCTTGGCTTTGAGAATCCATTTTCCTTTCCCTTTATGTTTTTAAAGATTGTGGGTACAGGGAGTGGGGAGGCTAAGAAGGAGGGAGGGAGATAAGGTTCTAATTTTTGGTATTTTATTTCATATACTTCAAATTTAGCATGCTAGTTACAACACTGGCCTGCATATTTCTGTCCCATTCTGAACTTCCTTCTTTTCTCTCCCTTTTTAATGATGCATCAGCTTACTTGTAATGTAAAATATTTTTAATGTATTGTTTTAGCCTCTTTGCTAATACATTGCCAATATTTTATGTATTGCTGTCTATAGGTTCCTTTCTTTCTTTGTCTCTCTCTGGTTTAGTGAACAAGGCCATCTTAGATTCAAAACAGGAGGCTGATAGGATTCTTTCTTTCCCTATTTTTGCAAGTAATTTATGTAATATTGGAAATAATTATTCTTTTAAAGTTTGATAGAATTTACTTGTGAATCCATCTGGTCCAGATATTTTTCTTTTCTCATTCTTTTGTAGTTTGTTCAATTTCTTCTTCTGAGATTGGGATATTTAAATTCTCTGTTTATAGTTCTGTGAATTTTGTTAATTTAAATATTCTTCCATTTCATTTAAGTAGTCAATTTGTTGGCATGTGATTGGGAAAAAATAGTTTAATGATTTTCTTATTTTCTCTTCATTTATTGTAAATTTTTTTTTCATTTTTTATACTAACAACTAGATTTTTTTAATCAAATAAGTTAATGGTTTACCTATTTTTGTGATTTAAAAAAAAATGAATCCCTAGTCTTACTAATAATTCTTTGTTTTCTATCTTACTAATAATTCTTTGTTTGCTAATCTCTTATTTGATTTTAAGAAATCTTATTTTTATATTTGACTAGGGATTCTGTTTTATTACTTTTATAATTACTTTAGTTGCATGCCCAATTCATTGATTTTTTTTTCTGTTATGTGTTTTTTTTTTTAAATGAAAATGTTAAGAGATGTAAATTTTCACATCAAGACTATCTGGGCTATATCCCAAAAGCTTTAATATGATTGCCCATTATTTCATTTTATTTAAAGAAATTACATATTGCTTCTGTGATTTGTTCTTTGATCCACCAATTCTTTAGGATCAGATTACTCAGTATCTATTTAAACTTGAATCCTTTCTTCGAAGGTCTTTAAAAATTTATTATAATGTTTGTTGTATTGTTATCAGTAAAGGATATGTTTAATATTTCTGTTTTTCTGTATTTGTTTATGAGGTATTTATATCCTAGAATTAGTCAATTTTTACAGAGGAAAAATATGTATACTCCTTTCTATTCTCATTCAATAATCATCAGAGATCTATCATATCTAACTTTCCTAAGATTCTATTCAGATTTTTAATTTCTTCATTGTTTATTTTTGTTAGATATTTCTAGGTCTAAAGAAGGCACATTGAGGTATCATCTATTATTCTTTTCCTCTCTTTTTCTCCTTATGATTCAATTACCTTTTAAATACCTAGTTTGCTATGCCATTTGTTTCATATATGTTAAATATTGATTTTATTTTGTTATCCATGGTATTGTTAAGCATAATATAGTTTCCCTGCTTATGTCTTGTAACTATTTTACTATTTCTTTGTCAGAGAGAATGATTATCACGTCTACTATTTTTAATTCACCTGAAGCATAAAAATCTTGCTCCAGTTCCTCCTTATAGCCCTGTGTGAATCTTTGTTTCAAGTTTGTTTCTTGTAAATAGCATATTGTTGGATTCTGATTTTTTAAAAATTTTTTATTAATTTATTTTGATTTATCAACAATCACTTCCATAAGCTTTTGAGTTTTAAATTTTTCTCCCCATCCTTCCCCGCCTCCCTCCCCAAGACAGTACACAATTGGATATAACCTATACATATACATTCCTATTAAATATGTTTTCACATTAGTGATGTTGTAAGGAAGAATTAGAACCAATAGGAGGAACCACAAGAAAGAGGAAACAAAACAAAACAGAAGAATAAAAATAGCAAATAGTATGCTTCGATCTGCATTCATTCTCCGTAGTTCTTTCTTTGGATGTGGATAGCATTTTCCATCATGAGACCTTTGGAGATGTCTTAGATCCTTGTATTGTTGAGAAGGCCTAAGTCTATCAATGTTAGTCATCACATAATGTGGCTATTACTGTATACAATGTTCTTCTGGTTCTGCTCACTTCACTTAGCATCAGTCCATACAAGTCTTTCCAGGTTTTTCTGAAGTCTGCCTGCTCATCATTTCTTAGAGCACAATAGTATTCCCTTACATTCATAAACCACAACTTGTTCAGCCATTCCCCAATTGATGGGCATCCCCTCAATTTCCAGTTCTTGGCCACCACAAAAAGAACTGCTATAAATATTTTTGTAGATGTGGGTCCTTTTCCCATTTGTATGATCTCTTTGGGATACAGCCCTAAAAGTGCTGTTGCTGGGTCAAAGGGTATGCAGATTTTTATAGCCCTTTGAGCGTAGTTCCAAATTGCTCTCCAAAATGGTTGGATCATTTCACAACTCCACCAACAATGCATTAGTGTTCCAATTTTGCCATATCTTCTCCAACATTTATCATTTTCCTGTTTTATTATGTTGGCCAATCTGATAGGTGTGATGTGGTACCTCAGAGTTGTTTTGATTTGCATTTTTCTAATCAATAATGATTTAGAGCATTTTTTCATATGACTAGAGACGGCTTTAATTTCTTCATCTGAGAACTGCCTGTTTATATCCTTTGACCATTTATCAATTGGGGAATGACTTGTATTCTTATAAATTTGACTTAATTCTCTATATATTTTAGAAATGAGGCCCTTATAAGAGACACATTGTAAAAATTTACCCCCAGTTTTCTGCTTCCCTCCTAATCTTGGTTGCATTGGCTTTGTTTGTGCAAAAACTTTACAATTTAATGTAATCAAAATTACCCATTTTGTATTTCATAATGTTCTTTATCTCCTGTTTGGTCATAAATTCTTCTGTTCTCCATAAATCTGACAGGTAAACTATTCCTTGCTCTCCCAGTTTGCTTATAGTATCAGCCTTTATATCTAAATCATGAACCCATTTTGACTTTATTTTGGTATATGGTATGAGATTTTGATCTATGTCTAGTTTCTGCCATACTCTTTTCCAGTTTTCCCAGCAGTTTTTTTCAAAAAGTGGGTTCTTATCCCAGAAGCTGGGGTCTTTGGGTTTATTAAATAGTAGATTACTATAGTCATTGACTACTGTGTCTTGCATACCTAACCTATTCCATTGATTCACCACTCTATTTCTTAGCCAGTACCTAGTAGTTTTGTCCATCCTATTTTTCAATGAGTCTGCTACTTGAGTAAGGTTTTCCACTTTCTGTTCTAAACTATTCTTGTTTTCTTTTTTTCCCCTAAATTCATCATTTTCTAATTTTAGTTTTTAACCTCTTGTTTTATTTCTTTCAACCATTCTTTTAGTCTTTGCAGCTAAGCCATTTTCCCCACTTCTGAGGCCCTGTTTGCAGTTGTGGAGGGGTTACTCTCATCTTTTGGGTTTATTTTTGAAGTAGCTAAGTAGCATAATAGATAGAGTACTGGGCTTAGAGTTAGGAAAACCTGGGTTCAAATCTGGCCTCAGACACTTGTTAGCTTTCTAACTCTTGGCAAGTCACTTAACCACTGCCTGCCTCAGTTTCCTCAAATGTAAAATAGTGGTAGTAATAGCACCTACCTCCCAGGGTTATTGTGAGGAGTAAATGAAGCACAATTCGTAAAGTTCTTAGTACAGTACCTGCAACATGGTAAGTGCTTAATAAAATGTTTATTTCCTTTTTTCCTAGTTTGTGGGCTTTTTCTAATCCAAAATATTTCTTTATTATGTTTGATGTTTTCTTCTATTTACTGTCTTTTTAGCCCATGTTCTTGGCTTGGGATATTTCCGCTTTGATGCTTTTAAATGGATTAAATAGGACAAGTAGTCTGGAAGCTATGGCTTCTATTTATCTAATGAGGTGG